TACATACTATCAGCTACACATCAGAATATCGTATTAAATATCTTAATAGAGAATAGAATAGGGCGGTTACCACACACAAGTATGTTGGAATGTAAATAATAAATATATGTGTATCGCATTAAATATTTTTAAATATGCTCAACTGTAAGTGAATAGGATGCCACCTCTTAGTTTAGCTGATTAAAAGTCTACTCAAAGGGGTTGGCTTCTTAATGGGGTCGTTTGCATGAGGAAAAGTGGGGCATACTGCAGGCGTATGAGGTATACTTCATAGTACATCAAATCTGCTATACTCTCACCATCCCATTGGATTCATCTTAAAAGTGTAGCCTCCTTTTGAGGTCGTTTGCATAGCCAGAAGAGTGGCTCGCAGGAGGCAGGAGGATGAGCGAAAAGTAGATATCATATAATTTTAGTTATATCGGTGCTGCTTATTTCCATCTTCATCTTGACAACGTTTTAATAAAATTCCCTCCTTGTCGAGTATTTTTGAAGGGTAGTGGGTTGCGGGTTGGCTGCGCTACGAGTATCTGTCAGATACAAGAAACTCATCGGGATTCATGATGCTGATGCTCCCGCTCCTGCGGCTGCTGGTGCTCTTGCTTCATTTTGGCCACATGCTGTGTGCACACTTTGACACGAAGTGCACTAACTGCAACCACCATAGCCGACCTCTCCTGCTGCGCCTCATCGCCACTTCACTCCCAGTACTCTTTACCACTCTCCTCTCTTTCATCACCAATCCTCTCTCTCTCTCTTTAAGACACCTCCTTCTCCTTGTCCCTGTTTCTTTTTAGAGTTACATGACATGGCATGATCCGTGTGCCGCTGCCCCACTTCACCCCACTCTGCCCCAAAAAGTTGTCTTCTTGCATGCACTTTATTTGCCAATAAACGTGCGTCTCACCACCGCCCGATACCTTGCCACACCTCTCTTTTTTTCTCTCTGTCATGCCATGACATACTCCACTCCCCGCTCGACCACAAGCGTAATATTGTAATTAATGACTTAAGAAATAACAACAACAGAAGGAAAGGATGAAAAAAGTTTCAGGGCGCCACAAAATTTGTTTTGCTGTAGCACAAAAATTTCAATTAGGATTCAGACCACTTCTTATTATCATAAAGAGAGGGCAACGTGCAACGTGCAAAGTGCAGCATGGAGCACATACAGCAAACGCTGAAACGCTGGAATGCAGCAATGAAATGAAGAAAAATTTAAATTGAAGTGAAATGAAATATACTCAAATTCTTTCATTGTCTCTTTCCGGATTCCAAACTCTTGAGACATTCTATCCACTGAGAATAGTTGATAAATATTTGTTTCCCTCAAAGGACTCTCGAAAGAGACAAAGAGGGAGATGTGGAGATGAAGCTATTTCTCTGATGAAAATTAAGAACTTTTCGCCAACATGTCTGTTTTCCAGAAAAGTGCACTACAGTGGTCGAGAAGTGCGCATCATCCGTCTTGGATTCGATTTTATCTGCACACCCTTAAACCGGCACGAAGATGCTGCTACTCCTTTCATAACCATGGAAGAAGAGACAGCGTCAGGGATGGGACAGGGCTCTTTTCCTTGGCCTGTGGTTCGTTTTGATTTACCAAACACTTTATCACTTAATGTTCGTTTGTGGCAGCTTACTTTTTATACCTCTCCTCCTCTACTATATACTGATCAAGATATATATATATACTGTGAACAAATACTCGCAGAACACATCACTCACTGTCCAGACATTGTCTTTCGCTCTTGGCTCTTTTGCGGCTGGGCCAACTCTTGTTAAGTGAAACAATTGAATTGTTAACTGAACAATAAAGTATTTTATTATTATTAGATTTTTGCTGGATCCAGCACTTGCTCTTTCTCATGCTTCTGCCAATCTTTCCTCTGTATACTTACCAAGCTATTCCTATCCCATGGCCATTCCCATTTGCCTTTTGTCACATCTTTCTCGCGTCCCTTCCATCGTTTATCTCGAGCCTAAGTGTCTTTCGACTCTGATACGGCTGATATGGTCGGGCTTTTTTTGGCGGCTGTCTCGAGTAGATTTCCAAACATATTTTTTGACTCTTGTTATATGTCATTTCTATTATGTTTTCTTATTGCTTATTATGTTCCTTATTCTCTTGCCTGCTGCCTGGGTGGCCTTCTATTCCTGGTTTGCTCCCTTTTGTTCGTCGTGGCTTTTCTGTTGCCGTGGCTATTGCTCTTCCACTGTATAGCCAAAGCCATTTAGGTTTCTGAATTTATGACCATTTTGCGTTCTGTGGCTATTTTTCAAATGGTTTGGCAATTTATGTTTTCTGGGCTTTGACACACGCGCAGCCCGCTCCCCACGTCAACCCTCTCTTACTCTCATCGACTTTCCACTGTCTCCGACTTCGAGTCGGTATTTTTGATTTACGAGCACGAGAGAGAAAGAAAACCCTGAAAGTTACCCAAGCAACAAGCTTAAGTCCAATTGAAAGCCTTAAGAAAATGGCCACAAAAAATCTAAATCAAGGAACATTTCGCCCCTTCCAAAAGTGATACATAGTGTTGTAGCCGGATCAAGAGTTGTTTCACCCGAAGGAAAAATGTCAAAAATAAAATCTTGCAACATGTCTAGTAATCCATTGAAATAGTTCAAAGATTTCTACCATTTCTCGTGCCCAGTCGACTTCCTTAATCTCGCAAAGTGTTGGGTAGCGCCCAAAAGAGCTTAATCGTGCGTTAACTTCCAACAGGAGATTTTGTATCAAATTCATCGAATATGCCACATGGAACGCGGAAATTAGCAGACCCAGATGATGGCCTGGATAAAGACCACTCACAAGAGCAATCAGTCGAGGCACGTAATCAGCTCGGAGGATTAGAGGAAATCTGTTGAGCGATGGAAACGATGATAGAGGAGAGTTCAGTGGAGTGGAGTGGAGTGCAGCTGCAGGAATCCTAGTAAGAACGAGGGGGAACGTTGTGAGTTGCTCCTGGGACCGCAACTCTAAATTTATACCCGATACATAGTCAGTATGGCGCTCCTCCGCCAGACGAGACAGACAGAAAATCAGTCAAAACGAATCGTCGAGCGCTGCTTTGTTCCTCTTGGTTTTAATATTGATCCAGATTCGGCAATCTGGTAGATATGGTCATTCTCTATGATTGTCATTTTTTTCGGATACACATCAACTTGCACCACAAATCTAATATACCCCCATACTCATTTTTAGTATCGGGTATAAAAATGTATGAAACGATATCAACAGGCAACTGGCATCCCGAATGCTGGATAGCTGGGAACACATTGTTGGCGAGCAAAAATTTAATTGAAATGCTTGAAATGCGACAGTGTGGAAAAATGCCAAAAAAAAGTCACATAGAGGCAGCACCTGCTCACAGGAGAGTATGCTAAGCGAGCTGCAAGGACAAGACACCAGGAAAAAGTAAGAGGAAAGGGGTAGCGAAAGCGAACAGAGAGAAATAAAAAATGTGAGAGAAGGGGAAAGAAAGATGGTCAAAAAGGGAAACGTATCCGAGCGCCTGGCGTCGATATAAAGACAACTTTTTAATGCCATTCAACAAAGTTGTGATCGCTCTTGTAGCTGTCTGTCCCTGACAGGACACACGGTACACATAAAGGGCGTACTGCCGTAAAAGGCCAAAAGAGTCGAAGCAATCGAGACACCCCCGACCTGCAACCAAAGACTAGAGCTGAGTGAACCAGAAAGTCAAAAATAAAAAACTTTCGATGAGCTGGAGAAAATGCGTGGCCTGGTCCTTGCTGTCCTCGTTGCTTTTATTATATTTGCGGCACGTCCTTAAAGACTTTATCGTCCAAATAGAAACCTAGTCAGAAGGACAGTCAGGACTGTAGGACAGTCAGACAGAAAGACAGAAGACAGTCAGAAGTAGTTCTTGAGTATCTCCATCCCTGTGAATCGTTTGCCATTTTGTTTGCGAATTTATTTTACTTACGAATACTCACTTTTATTTATCGTAATCCTGACTTCTGATATTCCTGTGCAGGAATTAAGAGAGTCAGAGGGGAAAACTAATCAAATTCTAATCTCGGTGCGTCCTCTGAATGCCTTCATATGATATTCATTTGGTTTTTACAGAATTTATGTTGGCTAGACTGGGAGACCAGGGAGCTGTGTGTGCATTAATACCGGAATTGAATAAAATATTTCCCACCCATGGAGTGCCAACAGTCACGCTTTTCCGCTTTCAGAAACAGAGCAACAAGCAACCGTTCAACAGAAACAGAAAATGTGGCATTTTGTACTGAATTCTGAAATGATTTTTCCATTTCATTGTAGTTACTTTCGAATCATCCATTCATGCACCCATTGCTGTTGATCATGCCTCATTTGAGGCGATTACACACAACAACAAGCACAGAGCAAAAGCAACAAAAGGGTACATCCACGGCGTCGGTACTCCGTGGCACTCTGGGGCGCTCCGTGGACCATCAATTATCCTTCAGATGAGATGAGATGAGATGAGAATGATGGCCTTTCCCCATTTCCTTTGATGCGATCCAACCAAATAATTTAATATTCTTACGTACATATGAAACCCGTATTATCCTCAAATTAAGTTAAAATTGCCATCAGTCGAACCGGATTGTTTCACTCGATTGGAATTAAGCCAAATCAATCGATTGATTATTTTTGAACTTTGCAGGTAATTGATATTAAAATGGATTAGTGAGATTCGCTATCCAATGGATTGGATTGGCTTGATTTCATTTGATTTGATTGCTTTCGTGTGTCACCCGATTTGATTTGATTCGCTGCGCAAAGCCATTAGCGAGCTGCTTTTCTATAAGAGCAGGTACGAGTAAGAGTTGTGATGGTTTTAAAATGAAACAAAATCCGGGAGTCAAAGCTGTCAGGATCAGGGAAAATGTATTGTAGAAGACTCTCAAGAAATTTTGCCAGAAAACTTTCAAGCATAACGATGTCAGATCTATTGTTACTTAAGAATTCAAGAGAAAATGAATGTTGTTTTGCTACTCACATAACCAATTCATGCGCTCAGTGTACTCGACCTTGCGCTTGAGATCCTTGACCAGGGCGCGGAAATCGTCATCGTTGAAGTGACATTGAATGATCGTGTTGTTCAGTTGAAGGATGCTGTACTCGTTGTTGCCGTTGCCATTGTTTGAGGCTGCCGCTGCGGCAATGGTGGCCATGGCGTCCTGGGCTCCGTTCAGGGTATTCGACTCGATGTTTGTTGCACTGGAACGCATTTGGTTGGTGACGCCTACGCCCACTCCAACACCGACACCGATGCCCATGCCCATGCCGGTGCCACCGCCGTCCACATTGCTGCAGGACTTACTCAGAATGATGGTGGCTCGATTGGCGATCGAGTTTGCCGCGAGCAGGTGCTCCCCGGCTGCGCCGCAGCTGCCGCGGTGGAAGGGCAGCTTCCCCGTCGCCGTGGCGCAGTTATTGTTCTTCAGCGTAATGCAGTGCAGTTGATTCGACAACGCCGCTTGAGCCGCCTGTACCGCTGAGCAATCGCTGGCGCGGCGCCGCCGGGGATTCTCGCTGTCGTCGGGCAGGCTGGTGGGCTGCAAGTAGGAGGCGGTGCTTGTGGCAGCCCCTGGCACCTGGCTGGTAGAGCTGCCGGGCAGTTGCTGCTGCTGCTGATTGTCCGGGCTGGTGACTGGCATGTTCGACATGGATGTGGACATGGTGAGGGCCAGGCCGGTGGTGGTGGTGGTGTTGTTGTTGTTGTTGTTATTATTATTGTTGTAAATGTTATTGCAGTTGTTGTTGGTGGTGTCCGGGGAGTTGCAGACGCGCTGGTGCCGAATGACGGTCAGCTTGCAGCGGTGCTGGTCCTGGTCCTCGTAGAACTGGATAAGTAGCTCCTCCAGCAGGTTGATCGGAGTACTGGTAGAGGCGAACGACTGCGAGGCGGAGGCCGAAATGGACACGGAACCGGAAACGGTGGCGGCCGCTCCGCTTAACGTCGAGCTGCTCGAGGACTTGCGACGTACAGTCGTGGTCGTGGTGGTTGTTGTGGTTGTGGTTGCTGTGGCTGCTGCTCCTGATGCTCCTGCTGGTATGGTGGCTGCTTCTGTGTCGTCCGGCTGCTCCAACGGATCCTCGTTGGGTGACTCCTCTTCGGGCTCCTCCTCCTCCTCCAGGTCGCTGCTGCGACTGCGACTCCGGCTGTGACTGTGACTGCTGGCCGCCTCGATGCTACTGCTGCTGCTGTTACCTGGAAGCGGTGCTGCCTGGACTGCTGCTCCAACTGCCACTGCGGCAGCTGCCAAAAGAACGGCGCGCTCCCGCTCCTTGCCCGGATCGAAGATCGAGTGCTTTAGCAGGATATCCTGCAGCTGGCGGCGTTGGCGACGAGCGCTGTACGGATTGACCAGGTGGAAGTCGCCGTAGAATTTTGACAGGCCTCGGACCCGAGATGCTATATAGCCGATCTTGCGCAGCAGCCGCACATCGGCGCCTAGCGTGGTGGCTGACTGTTGCTGGTGCGAGTGTGGATGCTGGAGTTGCTGCTGGTTGCCACGTTGCAGCACGGCATTACCCTTGCCGCTGCCACTGCTGGTGCTGCAGTTGCCCGAAGATCCCTGAGCTGTCTGGCAATCGATCTCAATGTACTCGCACTCCTCGCTCTCACTCTCCGCCAAGCTGCTGTCGTCGATGTCGCTGGTTGCAACTGTTGATGTTGCGGCTGTTGCTGCCGTTGCCGTCGATGTGGCTATAACAGTTGTGGTTGTGGATGTCGCTGTAGCCGTTGCCGTGGTGGCAGCCGCAGTGATCTCGGTCTCGGTTATGGTTGTGGTTATAATTGTGAGTGTCTCGAGGGTTTCCTCGTCGCTGCTGCTGGTTCCTGTTGCTGTTGCAGCCCCTGCTGTTGCAGCGCCTGGTGCTGCTGCAGCTGCTGCTGTTGCACTGGTGCTGCCACGTCGACTGCTACTGCTGCTGCAGCCGCTGTCTTGGTACATTTATAGGCAACCCTCACGAACCCTTTTCTTTTGTGACTCTTGCGTTTGGCGCGCGGTTCGCTCGCGCTTACTCCCACTTCTCGCGGCCCCGTCCGCTGCTTTAATTGCTATTATTTTTTCTGATATTTAACCGTATTTGTATTTGATTTGGTGTTTGCTGCTACTGCTGCTGCCGCTGCATAAATTAATTTTGAGCGGGCAGTAAGGATATCTCTCCTTCTATTTTCCTTTGCTCTTTTCCGTTTGCTATATTTTTACAAGGCTGGCGCCATTTTATGGCCGTTTCTTTTGTTACTTGCAATTTGTTTTTGATGTTTTTTATGCTACGGCAGCAAAATTATGTAAATTCTCGCTTGCCGTCTCCGTCTTAAATCGCGTATACGCAACTCCGCCGCTCAAATCAATTCAGTGGAAAAGTTGCCGCCACACGCATTTTTGGGCATTTCAACCTCTAACACCACCCACTCTCCACGCTCTTCACTCTCCCCTCTTCACTCGCGTGTCTTTAGTGCTTTTTCTTGCTATTTTCCACCAGCTTGTTGCTTGTGTTTTACATTTTATTGTATTTTAATTTGCATTATTCAACTGTTTGTCTGCTTCGCCAGTTATATGCTTCTCCTCCCCTTCCAGATGACTCCCAGATGACACCCTTTCCCTCTGGTCTACCGTCTTCCCTCACTGGTCGGTGGGGCGTTTTGCGTGGTTGGGGTTGTGGTGTGGCTTCACTTCCGTTTCCGTTTGGCAACGATTCCGTTTGACGCTAACAAATCTAGAAAAAGAGGTAAATGGGAATTATTTATAAGATTTTGAGGGTATGGAAAGGCTAGTCATATGATTCCTAATAATTATGTAGTACCCACACACTAAAGATAGTAAAGTGAAAGATAATGTGTGTATCACTCAGAAGAAAGCGTTTCCGACCCAAAAAGTGTATATATTCTTTATATTCGTGCAGTGTGCACCCTCTGGCGGAGGAAGGCCATACTGATTGAATATCAGGTATAAATTTAGAGTTGTGGCCCTAGCTGCGACTCACAACGTTGCCGCTCGTTTTAATAAAGGCTTTTCTAAAATATTGGGTCTTGATAAAAAAAGATACAACCGGCTTTCCATTAAAATTTTTTTCACTTTTTTGGCAAATATGGCATTAAAAAAATTACATATACATTTATTGGACCGTTATCCTTGTAATTTATGCAGATCGTGTAGTTTTTGCACCTCATAGGTGGTGGAATATAAGTTAGAATTTCTGCCATTTCGTATCTAATCTTTAAATGGTTAGGTCCGATTAGGGTCGAACTTTAAAAGGCAAATGAAAAAAGTTCAGTTTGAAAACCTTATTTCGATTTTATAGTCTGTGAGATCTAAGAACTCAACCAGACGTATTATGTATGTGGGCATGGGGTATGATTTTTCTTCTTCCGCTTCATTCGCTGCCGAAGACTCCCATTTGTTTACCCTCTAATATTATATGAAATTAGTAAAAGGAAATGGGAGGAATGGGTTACTGGTAGAGAAAATAGGAGTGACAAGATATGCACATGATATACAAGAAACAAAATGGATTAATATATAAATATAGAGACCAAGATCGAGTGACAGATACGGATACATACATTAACCGAGGCAGAAACAGATACAGCCTGTAACCATAATGTAAATATTTTATGAAATATTTTTCCTGCATGGTGGGTCGACGGATCTACAGTGGGTCTACGGATATTCTTGACGCAATGGTTGCTCTGTGCCTCCGCTGCCGTGTGGTGTAACAATCGATTGAAATGTGCAGTAAATGTGTGTCCCCGTAAATGTGAGCGTGGGAGCGGCTTTGGGGGGCGTGGGTCTTGCTGGTGATTGTTGGTTCTTGGTTACCATCTACCACGGTACGAGTACGACTATATGGCATACCCAGACACCGACACAGAAACAGAACCGCTGGACACTCTACAATCCCAATAAGCAGACGTGCGCCGACCGCAGAGACAAAGGCGTTGTCCCACTGGTGGTTGGACTTGTGGCGGTGCTAGGGGTGTCGGGTGTGGGGTGCTGCTGAGGGTTGGGAAATTGCACAAAGCTGTGGCATGTGGCAGGCGGTCATCAGCAGAAGCAGAAGCAGAAGCACCAGAGCCGGTAGTGGGAGCGGCAGCGGCAAGAACTGTCGACGATGTTGACAATGACAGCAAATGTCAAACAGTGCTAGACACCCGCCCTCACGCTGCTAGTGTATGTATTCCCACAATTTTCCTGGACCCTGCTGGACCTCGTTTAAGTGCACTGTACCTCTCTCCCTCTTTCTGTTCATCTGTCAATCAGTTTATCTGTCTCCTTTGTTTTCCTGGCCGCAACTCGTGTGCAACTTCCACAATGGTGCACAGAGACAAAAGACTGCAACATACCGGTGGCTGTGGCTGTGGCAGTGTCAGTGCCAATGGAAGCAGCTCCTTCGAACCTCTTTACAGGGGTCGGTGGAAGCTTTCTTCAGCCATCGAGCAAGATGACTGGCCACAACAGCTACCCAGAACTGAGCGTCAGTAAGTGGGGGGGGGGGGGGGTGTGTGGGGTGGGGGGGGGGCTGCCTGACTTCGCAAATTTTTAAAGTCATGTAAGTAAAGGGTAAGCAAGCTTCACTTGAATTTTGAATATAACGCATTAAGCAGCAAATCGCATTCTAGAGCATCTCTACAATTGAACATATTTTTTATTTTATTTTATTTTTATTTTTTTTTTATTATTCTATTACCCTGTCCTTATAAATTTTTAATTTTGATTTCAATTCTTCATCAGTTAGTTTTATCCTGTGCTGCACATTCATTTCCAGGCTAATTCAAGGATTATACAAACACAGAGCTTGCAGGGGGAATCCTTGTCGAGTTCCCATTTCCATTACCACTTGAAAATTCCGAGCGCATTGCGAACAGCTATCGTGGCGTATCCATGCGTGCGTTCCTGGTATTTGGACGATTCAGGACAGGACTGGATGGGAGAATGGGTGGAGAGATGTGGGATGTGGAGTACAGCAGATGGGACAGAGTCAATGATGGTGCAGCCACCATTAGCAGATGTGCTGCGGCAAAAAGTCGAAACAGTTCGGAAAGATTTCAACTTTGTTGCATATAATTATGGGGCAATTTGATTATGGGCTCATAAACAAACAAGGGTACGGACAGAGACCCACACACACCCATATATTCATACATCTGTACCCAAGTCAAACACAGATATATACACACATACACACTCTCGCACATATAGGAGTGTCAATATGAAGCCGCAGGTGGCGCAATTGCCACCGCTGTCATGGCTGACAAAACGCTAACGCAAACAGAAACCACAACGAAGGCGGCAAAACGCGGCCTTGTTCCCAAAAACCCTCACCATCCCAAACCCACACCACCCACTACCCCCGTACCCACAGCAATACCAAGAAAGCCTCAGCCTGAATGTTGGCCAACTGTTGAATGGCGGCAACAAATTTTTCGGTTGTCGGCCATTTTGCTGCTGTTTTTGTTCTTTGAATTTTATTTATTTACCGCGAACTCAAGCCAAAATGAAATGTTTTTAATAAGCTTCGGGTTAGCCCCCAAAATCACCAAAGCTCTCAAATTTACCCACTTTGCCAGTTTTGTGACCTTTTGCCACCACAGGAAACAAAAGGGAAACAGGGAAAGTGGGTGTTTGGGTGATTGGCTGCGAGCTGCTGCCCGCAGACTGTGGCATGTCGTGAAACAATATTTAAGAGAAGACTTTTATTCATTTATTTAATTTAAAATATCATACAAAAAGAACATATAGCTCATATATGTATTGGTATCTTTAATGGGAGCTTAAATTGTCTTAAGGCAGCAGTAGATTTTTGGGATTCCTCTAGTTCAGAGTTCTGGTGCATAATAGGTTTCCGAGAATACAAAAACTTCTTATATCAAAGATGAGAAAAGTGTTCTTAATATTTATCCCACTCTACTGCCTTGAAACTCCATTAAATTAAATTTTTTAGCAGAGAATATTACACATTATCTTCTTTCGCAGTTCTCACAAAATGCATCGATTAAGGCAGACACTAACCCTTGTTTGGGCCAAAAACCAAACTAGAAAAAGGCGATATAGCGAGAGAAAGGGTAAGTGATGCAAATCGTTCAATACGAGTCTTCCATGGGCGTTGAACTTTGCCTGGAGGCCGTCGAAAGCGAACAGAATCAAATTGCAGCTCCCGCCGACAAATTGGGAGCATATGGCGAATGCCAAGGGGCCTTTGTCGGAACACCATCAGCGTGTCCCTGGCCGTGTCCTAAGAGTACTTGTGTCCAGTTCGTGTCCTGTCCTGCAGGTGCTTTAAATGCATAAAAATGTGCAGTCTAATTTCCGCCAGCACAACAGCAAAAGGGATGAAAAAAGGTCAACATTTCGACTCTGATACACCCCGGTACTTGGGGCGTAGCTGAGTAGCTCATGGCAACATGTTTTGAAAATGGGTAGATAATTTCTGAGTGTCATATCAATTCTGTAAACCGTAGTGTGGGGAAATATTCGAAACATGAAGGATCTGCATGAGCATCGGTTTTGGCGTTTTACCAGTTAGATACACTTGCTCGAAATGTTTTATAGTTTATCGAATACAATATCTTGCATTCTACGAGTGTGTAGACTGGTCTCTAGCTTTTATAGTCTCTGAGATCTAGACGCTCATCGGAACGGACAGACAGTTCTGGCCAAATCGACTTGAGTATTGATGCTGATCAAGAATATATATATTTAATGGGGTCGGAAACGCTTCCTTCTATGTGTTACACACATCCACTTTCACCACAAGTCTAATATACCCCTATACCATTTTTGAGTATCGGGTATAAAAATGGCGGAACGAGAGGAAAGCAACAGCAGCGACACACATTTTGCGGTTGATATGAATATCGATTCAAAGCGTTAACTGTGCCAGCTTGCCCGGCCTCGGCCCCTTTTCTGATCCCTGCTCCAGCTCCCTCTCCCTCTCCGTCTATAGCTATAGCTATTGCTTCGGGTCCGGCCCCACAAACACCCCCTGAAACCTGCCCATCCAGTCACCGCCTGGGAGGGGTATATATACTGGTATGTAAACTAGAACTTTGTATAAATTTATGTGCACAACAATGTTTATGTTGTTGAATAAACGAGCAGTTTTGCATGCGGGGCTACCAACAAGAATCGAGAATCCAGAGCCGTTTGCTGCCTCTGCCTCTCTCTCACTCTTTGTGTGTACATATGTGCTAGTGAGTGTGTATGTGCAGCTGTAATGGCAGGATGCAACATGAAAATGGCGTGTGGCTGGCAACGTTTTATTTTCTCTCACTCTGCCTCTCACTCTGCCTCTCCCTCTGCCAATGGCTCCTACACCGGCTCCAACTCTGACTCTCTGCCTCTGCGTCTGACTCTATTTCCCCTTAATTCCTTAAGCTGCATGTGTTGCATGTATTTCAATGTGTGTGTGTGCATGTTGCATTTGCTTAAAATAGGAAATACGACATGCAAGAGTATGCGTAAAGGGAATAGAGGCAAAGTGTCTGCTGCCAAGCTCAGAAAATATTCAATTTGAGCACGGAAATCGCCTAACAGCCCTAAATAATGGACAATGACTGCTCTCCTCTCTCTTCCTCTCCATCTGTTTTTGGCGTGGCCAAGGCACACTCTTTATATGGGATCCTAGGACCAAAACCTAATTAAACATTCGCAACACACTTATCATGTTTGTCGAGAGAGAGAGGGAGAAAGAGCGAAAAAGAGAGAAGAAGAGAGAGA